ACTTTTCTCTAATAACACTATTTTTCACTCGATCACTCAATTTTAGTCCACACATACTTCTCAGGGCTCTCATTTCCACCACATTAATCCTGCTTTCATGCTTCTTCTGCCACACCCATGATTCACTACCATACATAAGCGTTGGTGTCAAAACACACTGCATTACAGCAAGTCGAGCTTTGCTGGATATTATTTTACTCGACATTACAGAGAGTAAAGCACCATTAACACTATTTCCCGCTTTCACTCTCCTTTCAATATCCCCGTAAATAGTGATCTCAGATACACAAATTCATTCACTTGTTCCAATTTTTCATCACCAATCATTACCTCACATTCTGTTATCACCTCATTTCTTTCTATCACCAACACTTTCGTCTTGTTCATATTTACTTTCATACCTTTCTTTTCAAATCCATCATTCATAGCAGTGATCATTCGTTGTAATTCTTCAGCCGACGAGGCAATAAGCACCTGGTCGTCGGCATACAACAATGTTTTAATCAAGATATAATCCCACACATTTCGGCGGGTGACGCCGCTGGCAATAGGTTATACATATAATTCTACTGCGCGGTTGGTGTCGTGGCTGGACAACTGGCTGCCGCGCAATGGTCGCGGGTTCGATCCCTGCACGGAACTTGTGTAATCCATAGATTGTTGTTCCGGATTCAGACCCGGCACTCAGGTGCCATGTGTATGTGAACTTGTATGTTTGTAAACGCACCCACGACACAGGAGAAAATCCTAGTGTGGGGCAAAAAAATTAATCCTCCTCCTATTTTTGAAGTTGGTAAAATATTATTAATAAAATATATGACTTAAATGACTTACCTATCGCCACTTTGAATAAGCCGAGCCAGCTGAAGTGAGAGGTCGCTCCCATGTTGCCGTCGCCCAACAATATGATTTTCTGCTTGTCGCACCGTTGTGTCAGTGATTGCTCTGTCACACACATCAGTACAATGTTTATTACCATTATAGGATATAGTACTAAAACTAGAACAGTTTATTACATCTAGGAAATAATGCTATAATTGTTATTGAGCACTTACCAAATAAAATAATCAAAATGCCCGGAAAGATCACAGTTTTACGCATAGTTTGATAAAGTTACAATAATTACGGCATAAAATTTGTGCACTACCAATACGCACGCCGTGACACCTTCGATGATGAAACGAATGTGACATCCGACCCATTTGGATCCGTTGTATTTATATCGGCCGGTATATAGCTGGGTGTACGAACAACCACAGATGCTGTAATTAATGGAGTAATCAATCCACTGCGCTACTACTTATAAATGTAAATGGATATTTCATGGCATGGTATGGCCATGCTGCGAGACGTATCCTAACATCGCGAGATCTATTGTCTCCGAGTGGCTTATTATAGACAGCATGGTTATAGGCGCAAGTTTGCAACAGCAGCAAAATAAAAAATATTGGCTTACCAAATTGTGAGGACACTCAGTAGAAGATGTTGTGTCTAATCGTCTATCAAAGGAACGTATCAGATTTTTATCTGCGAAAGAAGTTTTGTTTAGTATTCTAGTACCTAACCCATATTTTCAGGGTGCTATAAATTTTAACTCTGTAGTCTGTAGCGACACTGTAAATGTTTTAGTACTGTCACATCATCATATAGAAGATGGAGACAGAAGGCTGATGACCGGCGCGCAAACATTTGTCAAACATTCAAACTATGGTGAGTCGCAGTTCATTCAGTTTGGTTACATAAGCGATTACTATTTAGCACATTCTTTGGTCGAGTTTACACTTATTGTTTTGTGGATGTCACATACAATCCTCCTCTGCACGCACTCCATATTTCTACATGATCAACATCTACTCGAAAAAAACCTTAAATTCCACGCAGGTGAAGCCACAGGTGGGAAACTAGTCTGACAATCACATTGACCCTCCATGTGTTGTTAGCTCGGTGTTTTCAAATGTATCTATTCGGATGTTTGCACTAGACTTAGACAATGTTGCAATAGACGCGTACCTCTAGTATCAATTACAGTGCTATGCTAAAAATTGCTACCTTCATGTCATGATATGTCATACGATTTCCTCGGAAAGATAAACAAAAATGAACACTATTATTACGTATATTTAAGTAATAAAATAGGGCATATATTTATTGAACAAATCTTCTAATTACGTTATTAAATAGCTACCTATTTGAAAGACTGCCTCATTGGCCGAGTGGTCGCAAGTCCGACTACTGGTCTCGGGTTCGATTCCCGGATCGGGCAAAGTATTACCAGGTTTTAAAAAATCTCAGTAGTAGCACGGGGTCTGGAATTGTGCCCGGTATATGGCAATAGGCTCACCCCCTACTACATGGGACTCACAACATAAATAGTGAAAAGTAGGTGTTACATTGTACAGTGGCATAATTCATTTATTTATTTATTTATTTATATTTAAACATTACATTTATCATCACAGGCACACCTAATACAATAATGTGCACCTCTGCCTACCCCTTCGCGGATAAAAGGCGCAATGTTATGTTATGCCATTTAAAAGAAAAAAAAAATGTTTTTAATAATATAAAAATAGGCTACCGGTGGTTAGGCCTCCAGAGACAGAAACCTCCTCACAATGCGTGCCGTTTATAGGAGAACGGTCATCTGTATAATTGTCAAGCCATGCATCCACCTGACGGCAGCTTCCCAAGATGGGTGTTGAGCTTTTAGGAATTAGTCCATTGGCTGACACGACTATTGGCATGAATTATAATGAATAATTCTTCCGCAGGCAATGGGGATGATGACAGAGTATGAAAATTAAAAAATTAATTAGTCCGTAAGTTAGGTAATGAAAAAATATTAGACACGTATTTTTTTATTTTGTCGTATAATAAAACAATACTTAGATAAAACGAATCAAAGTTTAGGAGTGGGGGCTAAAACGTCATTTCTTAGTATAAAATGTACTGAGAAGTGACGTCACGCGACATTTCAAATCAACATATCTTCGAAACTATTCGTTTCTGTGAGAAAATAAAAAATACGTGTCTAATGTTTTTAAATAATCTATCAGACGGACATTAAAATAAAAATTAGTCGTCTACCCTATTGTCTGAATTATTTGCCATTCGATTGAATGACTAAACTCGTAAGGTTTATTATTAAGCCAGAGTTCAAATTCAAATTGAAATTAATTTATTTGCAAGAATACATACTATTTACAAAGGAAGATCTTACAGCCTCAAAGTCATTGTATTCTGCCTGCGAGCAAGCGTGCAAAGTATAAAAATTTCAAATTAAAGTCACCATAATAATTTTCACAATTACAATACCTCTACAATATTTACGTTGCTACCACAATGGTAAATTCAGATTTCGTTAGAGATCGCACACAAAAATCGTATTGCCATCTGAAATAAAAAACTAGCAGAATTGTACTGCGACATTATTTATTAAACAGGTTTGGTCTATTTTTTGTAATGATACAGCTAGAATCACAAATAGATAAACATCCAGCCACATTCCGCTGCAGTTAGAAAATCGATTCATAAAATTTCAAAGGTGTGTATCGTCATTTATTTTTGTAACTAGTGATTGATTTTTTGGGATAAGCAGGCAGCAGGCAGGCAACGAGCAGACGTGTCACTGATGGTTAGGAATCGTCGTCGCCCATAAAGATCCGTAGCACCTGAGGAGAGCGTTGTCGTTCTAGGGTCTTAACCCGTCCGCGTCCGCGTTGCTTATGATCCAACGGGTGCACACGTCACATTTGGAGCATTTTTTCTTATGATCCACCGGGTGCTCATAATGACGCTCGAGGGGTTAATAAACTCACTCACGACAATACATAACGTAAGCATGTCTATCAGGCCTCAGTGTCTCCGCGTCGCTCCGGTTGAGCCGGCCCATTCATGCCGTAGCGTGGCTCTCCCACATTAAAATAATATTTGATATACTCGGAGATATCTGAATACTTGGTTGGAGGTATTGTCTTGAATTATTTCAGTCTCTTCATTTAACTGCTAGTTGTGAACCTTTATCTCTTCCTACCTGTAATTATGGATAATCATCAGTCGATGACAAAATGAAGTCACATGTAAAGGCTACGTCTGATTTTTTTAAAAATAAAACGTTGCCCCACATTAAGCTTTTCTCCTGTGTCGTGGATGCGTTTACAAACATATTAATTCACATACCCATGACACCCAGACCCGAAACAACAATTAGTGGATCATACTAAGTGTTGTTCCGTGCGGGAATCGAACCCGCGCCACGCTGCACGGCAGCCGGTTACTTACCTAGCCACCGCACCAATCGTGCGGTCAAAAATTTTGTAAAAAGTGTTTATAAAAAGTGAATTCACAACTCTTTGTTACCGACTGAGAGAATATAACTATCTATGTTCTTGGTTTTAACCTACTGCGGTGTGATATATCAGTGCCAGGCGTTCGCACGCTATCTGAAGTTCAGAATAATAATAGACAGACAGAATATTCGACTCCTGTTTGTTTTCAATGCTCATAGACAATTTCGTTTCTCGTATCATTCTAGACCATATACTTTATGTATAATATTATCTGTCTGACTGCCTCGTTGGCCGAGTGGTCGCAAGTGCGACTGCCAGGCAAGGGGTCTCGGGTTCGATTCCCGGGTCGGGCAAAGTAATACTGGATTTTTAAAATTAATATAATCTCAGTAGTAGCACGGAATCTGGAATTGTGTCCGGTATATGACAATAGGCTCACCCCCTATTACATGGGACTCATAACATAAATACTAAGTAAAAAGTGGGTGTTACATTGTACAGTGGCATAATATGCACCTCTGCCTACCCCTTCGGGGATAAAAGGCGTGATGTTCTGTTTATATTATCTGTTGCCGCCAGACGTAAGAAAAGCAGCAATTTTAGATAAAGCCCTTTACAAATAGCGGTATTTGTAATCTACTAAACTAAGTATTTAAGACTTACGAGAAGTTCTTGTAGGAAGACCCTTCCTGCAAGAACGCATTAGTTTGGTTATTCCTCCACGGTGCGCCTGAAGTCTGGTGTGTCGTACATCTCCACCAACTCAGTGGTGGTGGAAGTAATCCAGGGCAAGTAGGGGAACAGATCGATGAAGCGAGCTGGGGCCGCGCAGCCAGGCCCGCGGACACCGAAACCGATCTGAGAGACAGCCAACAGTCTGTACCTATAGTAAGCCGATTTGGGTACTAGAAATATACTTTAGTATGGAAATTTTGACAAAGTTCATTCATTAGTCACCGAATGGGTTACTGAAACTGACCACATAACATCACATCAACAGCACAATAGAAATAAGCGAACAGTATGGAAACTGCCTACAAACGCTCGGAAACGTCACACTCACACAAACATACGCATCTACGAGACCGATAAGCTATGGTCGCAGTGCATGAGTAGTGCGTGGCGCGTCAAGACGAGTGGTCCCGTTTGAGTTTACTTTGAGAATTTTTTGAAAAATGCTAAGTTAATGAAAAGTTTAAGATCTAAAACTTGTTATATCAATATTAAAATATTGACTGCCTCGTTGGCCGAGTGGTCGGAAGTGCGACTGCCGGGCGAGGGGTCTCGGGTTCGATTCCCGGGTCGGGCAAAGTATTACTGGGTATAAAAAAAAAATCTCAGTAGTAGCACGGAGTCTGGAAATGTACCCGGTATATGGCAATAGGCTCACCCCCTATTACATGGGACTCATAACATAAATAGTGAAGAGTGGGTGTTACCTCTGTGTGCACCTCTGCCAACCCCTTCGGGGATAAAAGGCGTGATGTTATGTTATGTTATGTAAAATATTTTCCATATTTTTAAACTATTTTGCTCAGGTTAACCGGCGTAACGACGGCGACGTCACGAGATTACCATTTAAATTTTATTTATAATCTAGTTACCTATATAATTATCTATTTACAGTTTGTTGATCACTACGAAACATATATGTTTTTTTTTTCATAAAAACAAACAATATCAAAAACATTAAGTATTAGTGACAACCCTATTGCTTTCATGAAGTGTAGGTATTTATTTTAGAAAGAAGGCCTAGTTTCTTTACTGTTCGTTTATTTCTACTGTGTCAACAGGCTGTAGTTAAATGGTCAATACTGACTAAATGCCTCTTCTCATACGGAGACAGTTTGAGCATAGCCCAAGTTTCTTCACAATATTTTCCTTCACCGTTTGTCAGTGGTGTCTAAATAATCTTAGAAAGTGCATATAGGTAACTTGAAAAAGGTGACATTAGTACTTGCGTTTGATGGGTTTCGAACCAGCACCCTCATGCATAAACATCAGGGCCACCACGACATTAAATGACCAATAGAAGGTTATTTGTTCAATATAAGCATCAAACTTTGGGACTACAGTATGTTATATTGTTATACAAAGTGTAGTTTTGAAACCGTGTCATTTCTCGGGGGCATGTCACAGAAGTCATAAAGGTTCAATGTAAGAGGAAGTTTCGGGTCAATAGTTAAAAATACAGCTATAATAAATCCTTTAAGTTTAACAGTATTTCAGAATAAGCGACAGCAATGTTTCTTATTGGAGTTTTATGGTATTAGGAATAATATCAATTACGTGTTTGAGTTTGTGTGTGTTAAGCTGTGTTATAAAACTAGTTACAAGACGGCGGCGTGTAGTTCGCACTTACGGATTTCCGTAATTTACGGAAAAATTAAAAAATATTTACCTACAATTTTTTTTATTGATTCGGACTCAGAACCGATAGCCGAGTTACCTCCTAGAAAATAACGCGGCTTTAAAACAACACCTTGTATATCTACACGATTTGTATATTGACACAAATAGACTCCTCTTTCTGCGTCGGGGGATATACTAAAAACGCATATGTAATCATAATTACGTCCATGTGACAAGAGAAATGAACAAAAAGAATTGGAAAAGCTACAACTTATTTTCTGACGTGATACAGTAAGGGCCCGTTGAGGCGATACGAATAAGCAGACATCACGCACTGGCGACTGGGCTTCACCCAGTTGTACAGTCTCTTCTTTGTGCCTTTAGGCTTAATTCATTCTGTCTCCTGCAGTAATTAACCGAGGGAAGTGGAAACTATAGTTTTTTCTTCTTCTCCTCTTATAATATCTTCTGATTCACTTCGTTGCGGGAACCAAGACAGTTACTCATGTCCCTGGGACGCGCCGGACTTCAATGTTCCGGTGTTTTCATGGTTGTATCTACTGTAGATCCTGGCTTACAGGAGTTGCAGCGGTTCGGGGAGGTTATGGCGGGCTTGTACAAAAAAAAAATAAAGACATCACGCACCATGTAGAAGACGCCTCCACTGGCGTTGGAGACGAGTGCCATACCGTTGTCCCAGACACAGTGAGTGGAGCTGTTGCGAGTCGAGTACCCACACACATATGACGTGGGCTGACTGTTCCTCGTTGATAGCTGCCAACAGACACTAGATGTTTAATGAGGAACACAGTCATGGCTGAGGCATTAATAAGTACTAAGGATATTACATAGATTGTAGGCAGGATAGTTGATGGTTCATGTGGAGCCGGCTCGACTGAACAGATACCGCGTTCATTAAATGCAGCGTGGAAGTTGGAACAATGCCTGCGTTGAGTTGCGTCTCGTGAATAAGGTTTAGTGGACCTCCTTACAGTCGATACGCACACTTGTAATTCCTCTGCTGATGCAGTTGTCCGATAGAATCCATTAACGTCGCAGATTGCTTACAATAATTGCTTAATCCATGAATAAGTGTAGGAGAGCTATGCTTCGGCACGAATGGGCCGGCTCGACCGGAGTGATACCACGGCCTTACAGAAAACCAACGTGAAGCAACGCTTGCGTTGTGTGAGTGAGGTTACCGGCGGCCCAATTAACCTCCCCTACCCCAATCTTACCAATCCCTGAATCCCCAAACTCCTACTCCCAACGATCCTCAAACTCCTAATCCCCAAAAGGGCGGTAAAGCACTTGTAACGCCTCTGGTGTACCGTGTGTCCAAAAAAAACGGTGTGCAATTTAAACTCATCCCTTTTGTTATCACTACATATCTAAATTATGACTGCCTCGTTGGCAGAGTGGTCGCAAGTACGACTGCCGGGCAAGAGGTCTCGGGTTCGTTTCCCGAGTCCGGCAAAATATTGCTGGGTTTTTTTAATAAATCTCAGTCATAGCACGGAGTCTAGAAATGTGCCGGGTAGACTCACCCCCTATTACATGGGACTCGTAACATAAATAATGAAAAGTGGGTCGTACTCACTCTGTGTGAACCTATGCCTACCCCTTCGGGGATGAAAGGTGTGATATTATGTTATATTGTAATTAATTATACAATAAACAAATTTTAATTTTAAATGGACTTATGATGACGTGAATTAACTTATTAGTTCACGATGTTAATGATGCAGCAACGATGTATCCACTGCAAATATGTATGTGAACTTGTATGTTTGTAAATGCACCCACGATACAGGAGAAAATCCTAGTGTGGGGCAACGTTTAAAAAAAGCCACTTACACCAGCTCTGTTGTAGAACTCATCGCAAACATTCTGCTCCAGATATTGTATCTTGTAAATGACTTTCTGTAACACCTGGTGCTCTGTAACCGATGGAATAGAATCAGATTCATTATAGAATCATATCTATATCTATTTACATACGTATAACAAAATCGTAGGAAAGTGAAAACTGTACACACGGCTACACATCGAGCTTTACATAACCAGTATAAACTGAACGTTAAATGTGCGCAAAGATGATGCGACGCGACACCAGGATAAACTGGTTTTGTATAGATTGATGTGTGGCCGTGTACATTGAATATTTTTCAAAAGAATGCTTTGTACGTGATCTACATTCGATACTGAAACCAAAAATATGGTTTTTAGAACTTTTGTCTGTATGTATGTTCGGGATGAGCTTAAAAAGTGTTGCATGGAAGTTACTTAAAATTTTGCATGAATATTATTAACAGGTCGGGTCAACATCGCAGCTAGTTTATATCTTATAGTTATTATATATAAGGTTTTGGCAACTAAGGATGTTAAAGAAGCTACTTTCAAGTTTTATGGCATTGTTTATGATCTTTTTGACATTTGCGTGCCTAAAAAACGCAGAGGGAAGTCAACAAATAGGCGTTATCCCATATGGTTCACAATAGATATAATACAGGATCTCAAGGTCAAGTTGAAACTCCATAGTAATTGGAAACTAACCAGATCTCAAACATCATATTCAGAATTCTCTAATCTCAGATCAAGGCTCAAAACTAGAATTGCAGAGGCGTGTTCCATATATATGACAAATCTGGAGAACAAGATTAAACACAATCCTCGTCAGTTTTGGTCACATATTTCTTGTTTGCGTTCTAAAGGTGGATTTGAACCGAATATTGCATACAAGGGTCAAACTTTTTCAGGTGCCAGAGCGGCTGAAGCCTTCGCTGAGTTCTTTTCAACTCTACCTGAAGTTCCGCGGCTCAATGCCGATCTTGCCATTACATCAGATTATTCTAATAACAGTAATTATATAAATATATCCCCTCTGCGCCGTTCGGATATTATTAAGGGAATAAATAGACTTAAACTTCATAGTTCTGTTGGACCTGACAACATCCCCCCCAAGATAGTCAAAGACCTAAGAAATATTTTCATTGATCCTCTGCTTCATATTTTTAATTTAGCTTTACAGACCGGTATATATCCCACCGAATGGAAAATTTCCAGGGTTACGCCTATTCCAAAAACTCAAAACAGGGGCTCTGTTGAGGAATATCGCCCTATCGCAATCCTGTCTACCCCAGCAAAAGTCTTTGAGAACATCCTTCATAATATTGTTTACTAGCGGCCCGTCCCGGCTTCGCACGGGGGGACTTAAGATTTTTACATAGTTTTACGTTTTATTTATATTTATTCTCAGTTTTTTTTTAGCGACCTGCCCTCCGTTGTCGATGTCGCGTCTTAATGTAACCGAATGAACAATTCAAAAGTTATCTAGAGCAAACTTTTATAAGGATTGAACCATTCATTAAAACGATTGTTATGGGTAAACTATAAAAGGTAGACATATGCTCTCGCGGACTTTTTTAAAAATAATGTTAAGATAAACAATTCATCTATAGAACATTTTTGTATAACTTTAACTATATGCTCAGCGCACGCCACGGAAGGCCTCAGAAACGATACTTTTCCCCCGTTTTTAAAACATTTTTGGTTACTGCTCCACAACTATAGGACCTAGCGTGATATTATATAGCCTATGTTACTTCTGAATAACGCAGCTTTCGAATGGTGAAAAATTATTGCAATCGGTTCAGTAGTTTTTGAGTTTATTCATTACAAACATACAAAAATACAAAAATACAAATCTTTCCTCTTTATAATATTAGTATAGATGAACAAGTAAACAAGTATCTCTGTAACGAGCAGCACGGTTTTAGGAGCAAGAGGTCAGTCGATACAAATCTCCTAATTTTAGTGGACTACATCTCATTTAGTTTGGATCGGGGACGTCAGGTAGATGTACTTTACTTTGACTTCCGGAAGGCCTTTGATAGAATAAATAACGACACACTGCTAGAGAAGCTTAACAAAATAGGGTTTTCCCCATCTCTCCTACATTTCTTTGCAGACTATCTACGCGATCGAAAACAGTTTGTCAAACTTGGTATGTACGTGTCGGGGGCCTATCATACGCGTTCTGGTGTAAGTCAGGGCTCGATTTTGGGGCCTTTGCTGTTTCTTATCATGGTCAATGATCTTCCTCAAATTCTACTCCATGCAAAGTGCCTCTTATATGCGGATGATCTGAAACTATACTTGGAAATAAACTCTGAGCGTGACCGCTTGGCACTTCAGCAAGATATTGATGCAGTATACAAGTGGAGCGTGGATAATAAGATGGAGTTTAACTCATCCAAGTGCTATGCTATGACATTTTGTCGAAAGCGGAACCCAATCAACTTCGATTACAGTTTAAATAATTGCAGTATTACAAAGTCGACAGTCATGAAAGACCTGGGAGTCACATTTGACCAAAAACTTACTTTCCATGACCATATAACCACTATAGCAAAGCAATCCTTCCAAAGGTTAGGTTTTGTATTGCGTAATTGTCGTGATTTTCGCACCGCTCATGCCATTAAGATCATATTTAATGCTCTGGTTCGTAGTAAGTTGGAAACCAGCTCGTGTGTATGGAATCCTCACGAAAGTACCTACGCCCTACTCTTAGAGAAAGTTCAAAAAGCTTTCCTTAGGAATTTGTACAAGCGAATGCACGGTTACTATCCCTACCTCTATCCGACAAAATTTTTATTGGGTAGTCTTGGATATAACTCACTAGAGGTAAGGAGAGCAAGAAACCAACTTGTAGTAGCCTGTAAAACCCTCCGTGGCGCTATTGACGCTCCAGACATACTGGAGTCACTATCACGTTTTTACGTTCCAGACAATTACTGCCGGGGTAAAAAGCACAGATTGTTTGCCGTACCCTCATGTCGTACCGTAGCACGTGCTAAAGCACCGATTCCTCGCACTCTGGCCGCGCTCAATGGTCTCTTGGATTCCAATCCAACTAGTGATCTGTTTGCGGACGGATGGAAGGAGATTTTATCGGAATGCCTGAAGTACTGCGAGAGGAACTTATGAATGGTACCATTTTTTTTTAAATAAGTTTTACTCTTCTGGTTCATTGTATATGTTTTGTTCCAGTTTTATTGTTTGATTGTTAATTTTATTAATGTGTCCAGTTACTTTAATTGGTTTTTGTTCTCAACCGTTGTGATTGTAATAATAAATAAATAAATAAATAAATTATATAAAGCGGAAGAGTTTGTCTGTTCGAACGCGCCAATTTTTTTGAACTACTGGTTGGAACTGAATAATTCTTTTTAAATAGTATAGTCCATTTATCGAGGAAGGTTATGGTTAGGCATTTTATAATAACTATCAAGAGACATATTAAATTAACGTGAATATACTGAGAAAAGCTCTACTAGTTTCGAACCATAGAGGGGTTCTTCCTCATGAGCTGCGTGCGCGGTCGCGGCGATGTTGGCCGCGACCACCGACGAGTTGGGAAAATGTACACATTACTCCAATTAATGCCACTGTACAGTGTAACACCCACTTTCCACTATTTTTGTTATGAGTCCCATGTAATAGGGGGTGAGCCAGTTGCCATATACCGGGTCCATTTTCAGACTCCGTGCTTCTACTGAGATTTTTTTTAAAACCCAGTAATACTTTGCTCTACCCGAGAATCGAACCCGAAACCCCTTGCCCGCAGGCGTATTTTTGCAAATGGCACTAGTATGCACCTCTCGTTCTTCACTGGACGTTCAATATTTGACGGCCGCTGTGATTGGACTAAAAGAAAAGTTTTTCTACATTGGCGCCATCTAGTGAACAACAATACGATAGGGCCAATGTGAACCTCTCCTTCGTCTTCAGAGGAAATAACAGCGTAACGTTATGACGTCATACAATGTTAACTTACCATCTGTAAAGCCAGTGAGGTACAGGTATTTGGAAGTGTTGAACGAGGAGCTCGGCAGACATATTGGATTCAACGGAACTGCAATGTAATAATTATATATGTATCCGTATAGCATTTAAATTAATTGAAAAACAGGTGAACTAATGAACAGGAAACCTCGTCCAGTTACAAGTTACACTAGAGTGCTTAGTGGGAGTTTGTATTACGTGGACCCGATCGAAACTTTGCCACGTGTAGCCCTCTGATTGGGTAGTTAAATTAACCAAGAGCACCAATGGCTATCTCGATTCGATCTCGTGAAAAATAAAACAAAGTCGTACTAAGCGCTACTAAAATTCGTACTATAAATGTGCGAGAACCATGCTTCGGCACGAATGGGCCGGCTCGACCGGAGTGATACCACGGCCGAGCAGAAAACTGACGTAAAACAACGCTTGCATAGTTTGAGTAAGGTTACCGGAGGCACAATTACTCGCCTCTCCAAATTCCTAATTCCTAAAAGGCCGGTAACGCATTTGTAACGCCTCTAGTGTTTCAGGTGTCCATGGGCGGCATGGCCCGTCTGCTCGTTTACCAGCTTATTCCATAAAAAAATCACTCTGAGCGCCGAAGGTCATATAAACGAATCGATGTGGAATGATCTGTCGTCGGCGATATTGCCGAACCGATACGACCTTCAAACCTTCAAGAAAAGAGCGTATTCCTTTTTAAAAGGCCGGAAACGCACCTGTGTCTCCTCTAGAGTTGTCCATGGGCGGCGCTGATCGCTTACCATCAGGTGATAAGTCTGCTCGTTTGCCTCCTATTCCATAAAAAAAGTTACAGTTCCTCTATAAGTTCACTTGAGTTCGCATAATTCAGTTAATTGAATGCCTCACAACAGCCATTACACAAAAACCTATAGCATTTAGATCGACTCAGTTTATAGGCAAAGCTGTTAATCTGTCAGAAGGTTATAATTTGTGACAATATTGCTTTTACGGATCGGTAGACAATAATATCATCATCATCAGCCCTTTACCTTTCACTAAGGATCATATACTTCTTTAATAGCACAGAAGTAAAGTTGATATTAGAATTTGAACCACCACTCAAGGAGATAGAGTTTAAACTCACAGTCGTTCACATCTTCAACGTCCAGCTCGACTATGGCGATGGTGTTGACGGTGGAGTACTCGTACTCCGGGTGCGTGGAGTAGGATTTAGGCTGGACCGTCCACTCGGCGCCCTTCGCAGGCACGAACATTGCTTTGGTGTCTCTCCTGGTAAAACAGATATTTCAACTACATGTAGGAGCAAAGAAACTGAACTACAGGCGTTTTTCTTTCATTTTATAGAATCTATAGGTAAAAAAAGTAATTCCTTTATATCAATACAAAATGCTCTCATTTTAAAGGTATCGAAATCATCCTTTTATACTACATACATTGTCTAGCTTGATTGACGGACAAACTGACACACTATTAGTTATTTTATATTTGTTGACGTTTCAAAAGTCTTGGTACTTTACTAATGGTTTAATTGAAATAAATACTTTGACTTTGACGATTAATAAAATACTTATAGCACAAAATATCTAGTCAAGAAATACAAAAGTGAAAACGCAAACTACTCCATTTCTTTCAGTTTAATTAACCCTTCGTGGGCCACGCGAGAAACAATGTATTGTCTATTGTGTTTTATATACCGGCAGTCAAGACGTAGTGGATAAATTATTATGTTTTCGGCTTACTCACGTAGTAATTTGACGAGGTACTCGACTAGTTTCAAGCGATGATAGAGGCTCATATTCATGAGCAGCCTTTCGTGACCCGCGACGCGACAGTCGCCGCGTCGCGGCGGAATTATTACGTATGTAAGACGAAAACATAATAATTTATTTAGTATGTCTCACGAAAGTTACAATACAAACGTAGTGGAGGTTAAAGACGCCCGCTTCTCATACAAGAGAGTGCGGGTTCGAAACCTGCCAACGGCAAGTACCAATGTGACCTTTTCCGAGTTATATGTACTTTCAAAAGATTATTTAGACAACACTGACAAACAGTGAAGAAAAACATCGTGAGGACATCTGGACTTATATTTAATTTCTAATTATAAGTTTGTAATCGCCAACCCGCATTGAACAATCGTGGTGATTAATGCTCTAACCTTCTCCGTGTGAGAAGAGGTTTTGCTCAGCAGTGGGCATTTATAGGCTGTTGATGATAATGATGATGAGTCAAGAGGTTAAATAGATTCGCCATCGTCATCGAAATCCGTAAGAGATTATACTTACTCAAACACATGTTGAGGTATCTTCACGATGTCGTCAGCGTTCGCCAACACGTGCTTAGGTTTCACGAGGACGATCCCAGTCAGTGCTGTAATCCACTTCTTGTTTTCATCTGTACCAAGGACCATACTTTAGTCGTATCAAACTATAATTTAAAGTCTAAACTACATTTAAAAACCCGACATCGTACCGCTCTCTTTTTTGGAAGTCAGTTAATTAGTAAATTAAAACCGTGTCCTAAGTGTTAGAAACTCTTTTCTGAAAATTACATCATAATCGATTCAGCCAATCGCGAGATAATCGCGCACAAATCTTTTTATATATATAATTCTTCTGTGTGTGTGTATGCCACTGAACTTCTCTCAAACGACTCGACCGATTTTGATGAAATTGTTTGTGTGTGTTCAAGGGGATCTGGGAATAGTTTAGGTTCACAAATCAGCCCGGTAGATGCCGCTGCAGTCGATGTTTAGGTTATTTATCCTACACAGTTGAACTAATTTGAATGAATTTTTGTTTATACATTCAAGTGGATATGCAGGACAACGTCTGTTGGGTCCGCTAGTATACATATAAAAATTGAAAGAAGAAAAATACATCTGTGAAAACCGCATTCAAATCAGGTCAGTAGTTTTCATGTAATGCCTGCACAAACATACAGACAGATAGACAGACAAACAAAAATATCTAACCACAATGATCAATCCCCAAGCGGTTACCGGTGATCGCTCTCCACTAATACCATTATACACCTTATTTCCGATCTTTAGAGACTACTTTTATATGAACAAAACTTTGGCTATTTTGTTATTGATACCTATTTAGTTATTGTGTGGCCCATAGTGTCGGTGGTAGAAATATTGTACGGCAATATACTAACATGAGACTACTTTGAGCATCCCGAGCCAGTTGAACACTCCGGACTGTCCGAAGTTGCCCTCGGCAACTTGCGCCGTCGTTGCCTCGTCGCAGCGAGTTGCTGACGTCTCAACTATAAGAAGAACAGCCCATACATACATACATACGAAGTAGGAGAGTCATATACCTCGGCACAATACGGCCGGCTCCACCGGACTCACTGAAGCAACGCTTGTATTGTGTTTAGCCTTATGCGTACGGTACCTGAGGTCCAGACCTTTCTTCCCATTTCCACATCCTTAATCCTCAGATCGCTAATCCCAAAAGGCTGGCAACGCACTTGTAACTCCTCCGGTTTGACGTTCAAAAGTGCCTTCCTGATAACTTGAAAACAAGCGAAATTTTTTCGGGCACAATTGGGTAGTTTCCAGGGTATCAAAATTAAAAATGAAAGAAGAAAAAAGAAAGAAAGAAAAACCATTTATTTCTGCGCAAAACATACATAACGTAACCAAAAACAAAATAAAATAAAATAAAAGCTAAAAATATAAAATGAAGTGAAGTCTTGTCCATGGTCCACAGACTTATTATTTACTGAAATTATAGAATCTAATTAGTCCGTTAGTTAGATATTGAAAAAATATTAGACACGTATTTTTTTATTTTCTCGTATTAAGTTGCAATACTTAGATAAAATGGCGCTAAGTTTAGGAGTGGGAGGTCGTTACGTCACAACGTGCTACAACATGTGGCACGTTGTGACGTCACACGATATTTCAAATTAATTTATCGTCGAAAGTATTTAATTTTGTGAGAAAAATACGTGTCAAAAGTTTTAAATTAATCTACCAGACAGACATTAAAATAAAATTTAGGAAACTACCCTATTCGTAAATGTATTATTATTTCAAAAAACTTTTATCTAATTTACAATGATTATGTAGGCTTTTATAGCACTGAAATGTTATTGATATAATAGGGTAGATGCCTATTTTTATTATGTCCCTCTTGTAAATTGTTTTAAATCATTAGACACGTATGTTTTATTTTCTAACAGAAACGAATACTTTCGGCGATATATTGATTTGAAATGTCGCGTGACGACACTCCTAAACTTTGATTAGTTTTATGTAAATATTTTTTTATTATACGACAAAATAAAAAAATACGTGTCTAATATTTCTTTAATTACCTAACTTACGGACTAATTACATTTTTAATTTTCATACCCTGTCATCATCCCAATTAAACAACTCACCGAGGAACAGAAGTAATAGTTTACCCGGCATTTTTCCTCGCATAATTGCAAACGTACCACCTAGTCGTACCATGTATATGCCTATGCCACAGAGCTACCCGAACTCATTCACTCGCGGTCGACCGTGTAATTACTACAAGTCGTATATCATTAATTAGTCATAAATTACTCGCGTGGAATTTACCAGTTAAGGCTGCAGTCTAGCCTTTGAAAAATTTACACATTTCGCAGTTTGTATAAATTGTTGAAATAATAATATTCGGTCTGCCTCGTTGGCCAAGGAAATCTCGGATTCAAGTTGGGCAAAGTATTACTGGGCTTTTTTTAATTCTCAGTAGTAGCACGGAGTATGGAATTGTGTCTGGTATATGGCAATAGGCTTACCTCCTATTACATGTCATATAATAAGATTTCGGAATTTTCGTATTTAGCAGGTCTCAAAATTTCACGCTTGAGGAGTGCCCAGCGTGGACCTCAGAGCGGCGGGTCCTAGTAGCTAGGATCGGGCGAGACCTGTCTCTGCCAGCAGTAGTTACGGCTATGCTGGCAGAGACAGAAAACTGGAGGGAAGTTGCCACCTTTTGTGAGACTGTAATGTCCCAAAAGGAGGCTGCTGAGCGGGATCGTGAGAGGGCCGATCCCACACGTCGAAGGCGTCGAGGAAATAACCGCCGCGGCGCCTAATATGTTGATTTCCTGCCTACAATATTGGTAGGCAAACCTTTGGGGTCATGGGCGCATAGAGTGGGGAATCTAGGCGCCCACCTAATGACCTCAAGGATGACGGCGGCACAGTGGTCACGTGCCGCCGTGCACTGCACAGAGAGGCTCTAGGAGAGACACATAGGTCTCCACCGTGGGGGCTCCGGAGTTGGTCTACTAAGAGGACCCGGTGCCTCCTTCAAGTGCGGATGGTGGCCACCGGGGAAAAAAAAGGTCTCAAAATTTCTGATTAGCGACTTTAGTCTTCCGAAGGATTTGTATTACTTTATTTTATGTTCAACTTGATCGACAAGGCGGTGACGTACAGCGCCTAACGAATCACAGGGCTAACCGGGGTGACATATTGATCTTGTTAAACGTAAAAAACCTCATACACTCCGATTTCCGAAAAACTGATGTTTAATCTTCACTTTACTGCAACATAGTAATTACCTACCAACACTTTTTTTATTTTGCAAAGCACTACCTTTATTGTTCATTCCACGGAGTACGCGTGTGGTCTTAAGGGATAAAATAAAGCACAACTCTGTGGGCGACTCCTTAAGGTAGTCGCAAAATCTTTCTTACTTACTTAAGCCAAATAGAAATACGTTAAATATTTATAACAGACACGAGGTGCGAGTAATTAGCGTGCGCCGCCATGTTGGATGTCAGAGACAATCGCCACTAAATCACGCTGGACTCATTTACATCTCGCCCTTGTTGTATTTAAACACTGTTTAAGAGGAAAATCAGTTGACCCACCACTCGTACGGCATGAGGCAGATGAGACGAACAAACTTATATTTGCGTTTGGTATAGAAACTGTGTCTAGAGATTGAGCTGCAGAATTAAGTTTGTTTTTTCGTGTATATTTTTTCTTGGGATAAAAAGAACTGAGTGCTGTGCCCAGAATATTAAAGTATAATCATACCAAGTTTCATCGTAATCGGACTGGTAGTTTTGTGTGATGCGTGAACAGACAGACAGACAGATAAAAAAAAATTAATCACATTTTTGGGTTCGGTGTCCATCAAGTAACACCCCCTACTGTTTATTGTTTTTATTATTTCTAATGTACAAAATTTACACTTCTACAGTTTTATTATATGTATTGATTAAGTATAAGTTTAGAATACAATACAGTTTTATTAAAAAACTGAAGTGTTTGCTGTCGCTTTCCGCGCTAATCTCGAGAAGTGCTGGTCCGAATTGAATAAATCTTTTTGTATTGAGTAGTCCATTTATCGAGGAAGGTTTATTGGCTATAAAACATCACGCTACGATCAATAGGAGCCAAGCAGAGCGAGTAAAACCGCGCTGGAGTCAATAATAACATGCAAATATGTTTATTTGTTACAAGTGACGCGTAACAGTTGGTCAATACAGTCACCTTCATTTCTATTAATTCAATTCAGGTTAATAAAATCTTGATGTATTTGCCCTTTATCAACTTTAAAGCTAATTCACTATTTTCCAAACTACTGCGTTAGATTTCGGTGCCGTGAGTCAGCCTGCTCATTTAATATACATAGATACACGTATATAATATCGTCACTCTTATTTCCCATTGGTGTAAGCAGCGATGTTTGGACATAACATAACATCACGCCTTTTATCCCACTAATTTTCACTATTTATGTTATGAGTCCCATGTAATAGGGGGTGAGCTTATTGTCATATACCGGGCACATTTCCAGACTCCGTGCTACTAATGTTTTTTTTTTTAATCTCAGTAATACTTCGCCCGACCCGGGAATCGATCCCAAAACCCCTTGCCTGGCTGTCGCACTTGCGACTAATCGGTCATCGAGGCAATCGATGTTTGGTGTTTCTCGATGTTTGATGGAACAGGGATGAATTGTGATGTGAAACACATAGGCTACTTTCAATCTCACGGGAACATGGCAATGCTGCTGGTACAACCTAGAATGTCCTTTTTGTTATTTATCTATTTATTTCAGGCATCATAGGCCTATATTATTAGTTTACTAGCTTCTGCCAGCGGCTTCGCCCGCGATCCCAGCGGTAAAATGCCTATGTATCACTTCAGACCATAATCTACCTCTGTTCCGAATTGCATTCCGGTCCCTTCAGTCGGTTTAATATGACTGAGTAACAAACATACACATAAACTCACATATTTTCATTTATAATATCGAGTCAAGCTAATTTCAACCATTGGCCTTTCAGTTACAGCGTAAAGTCTATGAATGAGTATTGTAAACGTTAGAGTAGACAAATACATTCAGAAATCACCGAGTTGCTTGGCTATCGGGAGTTTCACGTGTTATTGTGAGTCAACCATAAAAGATAGACATATGCTCTCCAGGAATATTTTTTATATAATTTTAAGGAGAATATTTCCGTCATACATGATTTCTATGTAGCTTTAACCTATAAGCCTGCAAACGCGATGGAAGCTTAAAAAATGGAGTAACTTCTCCCGTTTTCCCAATATTTCCTTCACTGCTCTGCTCCTATTGATCGTAGCGTAATGAAAAGTATACTATAACCTGCCCAAGAGTATGAAGAATAATTGTGCCAAATTTCGTTAAAATCCATCGAGTAGTTTTTGTTTCCATAACGAACATACAGACAGACAGACAGACAGACAAAAATTTTACTGATTGCATTTTTGGCATCAGTAGCGATCCCTAACCACCCCTTGATAGTTATTTTTTAAATATATTTTATGTACAGAATTTACCTCTCTACAGATTTATTATAAGTATAGATTGTATTCAATATAGAAGAGAGGCCTGAAGATTTATAAATACTGTACATACATTACAAACAAAATAATTACACAATTTAGGTACACAATTTAAGAAATAGGTTACACGGGTAGACGGCGTCGTCTGTCGCACAGTGTCCGGTATCCGACCTCGGAACCGTCGGAAGACTACCACTCGCGGCCATAACTCTTTCATTAAGGTTGGCAGATGTCCAGTCGGCACCCTGACTACAAAAGACTTGTGTCCATTCTGTGTAGCGAGTGCAGTTGCTCAACCATCAGATGAAGCCTTTTTTCCTCAAGCTTTGTCTTGATCTTGATGATTGATTCTTTGTTGAAACAAAGAGTTTCCTTTTCTTGTATGCACTAATTCTATGGATTGTCAGTATGCATATGTGGGGGTGCGGTGCCAGAAGACCTCCCCGTGGTGCACCCTGGGTGCGGGCGACGGTCTCCCTAGCGGGGGTGATAGGGTTGGAGTGACTGTCGCCCGCAGCAGACTTCTGGACTGGGCGGGCGAACCCGATAGGGTTCTGGAGGCGGCGGGCTGTGTGCGGAGGCTCATAGCCCGCGCTTCCGAGGGGCGTTTCTCCGCCCGTCTCTCTGGACATAGCAGAGAGCGTGGCGTAGAGGCAAGGGCGGTGCTCGTTGTGCACTCACCCTGCCAGCGAGCAGCATCGGGACACAAGCTGTCCCCGATTGCAGCCGTCGATATCGTAACCCGTAAGGAGGTCACGGTCATGTTTTGTGACTCTGAACGGGACGAGGGTCTTGGCTTGGTCGCCCGGACCGCGAGGAAGATAACCTCTATAAAAAATTCCTCCAATACTAAGTTCTGGTGCGCGGCGAGAGTATGCATGGCTGAGGAGTAGTGTCAGTCGCGAGCGCACCCCCAGCTAGGGGACCAGTGGAACCTCTAGTTGGGAAACAAATGAACACTTACCCAGGTACAGGGGGCACTGCCTGGGTGGACCGAATATTTCCCCCATACTCGTGGGAACTGTATGGAGAAATTAAAATCAAAAAAAACCACAACTGTCGGAGGAGGAGAGTGCGGGTGAGCTTGGCTCACCTGCAGACGTAGTAGAGGGGAGCCCAAGGGGCTCTGGCGCCCGTGGGGAGACGCTGGACATCTAGCGTGCCCCACACACGGGCATCAATTACGATGGTGTCGGACCCTGAGTCCGACACATCACTGGCGGATCGGCTGAGCGTGAGCTCGAAGGGCTCACGCCGTCGCGTGACGGGGACGTTTAAGCGTCCCAGGCTGGAGGAGGACGCTTCGTCCCCGTCCTCCGGCGCGCAGGCGCCTCCCCCTAAAGTCCCAACGGCGGCGCGGGGTAGGGGCGGCAAGGGCGGCGGTCGCCGGAAACCGGCACCAGTTGCCTGCGTGGAGTCAGCCGAGCGACTGGCTGCGGAGGGCAGGGCTCTCTCGAGCGCTGCCCGTTCAGAGTCCTCCGCAGCCGAGATGTCCGGCGTGGAGGTTTCGGAGGGCGAGTCGGGCTCCGAGAGCGCGAGCGGCTCCGGGCACCTCCGACAGGCCATCACGGAGGTGCTCCATAAACTGGCTATGGGGAAATCCCAGCCGGTTAGGCTCTCCCTCC